CTCTAGTGTTCATACTAAAGATCCGATAATTCTCGGATTTTCAATTTGTATATTAGGAGTCCGAAAATGCGGATCTTTAGTGGTAATATTGAAGATCCGAAAATAGATGTTTATTTCTAATTCTGTCGTAATTAAGGAATATTATAACCTCGATTATAACATTACAATCAAATTGATAAAATGCTTGTATTTTTAAGGATTTATACTAGAAAAAATGGATCCTCTAATCCTTTTTGTGCAGAATGGCTAATCAAGTTTACTCGAAAATATTTGGTTGGTGCAATTTCAAATAAAAAAGTACAAAAAACAAAACTATTAAGTACCTTTTTATTTTTTTAAAACATTACATAACTAGAGAAAAAAATTCTTTATTTTAAGGGTTGATAGGGTAAGAGGTAAGAAATGTGATTTAGTTCCTTCTGCACTGCATGCAAAAACAGGCTTTCTCACTAGAAGGCAGTTTTGTTACTGAACCGCACACTTTATGTTTACACCGAAGACATGAATCACACCGTAAGCAATCTTCATTTATCACTTTGTTACATATATCACAAGTCAATTTTATAATACTATTTTGTTTTTCTTCAATTCGTTTTTGTAATAAAACATAAGAATCCCAACAAAAATATGCTTCTATTTCTGCTAAAGATATTTCTTCTTCAAGAAGAAGTGGATCAATTTGTTGATGATGAGGAATGTTTTCTTTCTCACACTGAAAAAAGTCAGCATTAAAACTCAAGTCCTACGTGACTTTGAGGACAGCATTATACTATCCAAGAGACTAGTCTTGCGAATTAAGAACGGTATTTGGTGTTACGAAACTCTTCATAATAGTATAGAAATTCTTTCTTAATATTTAAGTCAAGTAGGGGTTGATCATTCCAGATAAATATCAAGACACATGTCTTTATTGTTAAGAAACTTTTTCTTATGAATACATTTTAAAGGACTGGGATACATTTAAGTACATGATTTCTTTAATATTATGAATATTATCGATTATATTAAATCCTCCAGTTGTTACTTCAACAGCCATTGAAAAGGTAAAAGATAATAGATAGGAAATTTAGTTCCATGTGAATTGCCTTAACATTGGCCCAAACGTTTCGTTGTGTCGATGCTGGCACAAGGTCACACGGTAAGGTAGCGCACAACATCTTCCAACCAAAACCATCTTCATCAGTCTATATTTTTTGCCCTTCGCGAGCGTACAGTTTGTATTCTAATTATTCCAAAATCGTCGATTCGAGATTTTTTTCAAAGAAAAAATATAAAAATGGCATGCAAAGAATTTCTTGAAGAGATAGGTCTGGGGCATCACTTAGAAAATTTTGAAGGTAAGTCCTTATATATACAGTGCCCGCGGAAAAGTCTGCACCATATGGGAAATTTTTTTATGCTCATCCTTACTTCAAATCGGTTTTCGGCATTAGGTTCTGCATGACTGAAAACCAAAAAAGCACCTAAAATTTTTGACTCGAGACTTGCCTCCCACCTGTCAAATGCAATTTGAAAATTTCAAACAAGGAAAAGTGGCATTTTTATAAAAAATATGAAAAAATTTTATAAGAAAATATTGTTCCAAATCACATTTATAGTCTAATTTGATATTTTTGCTTTGAAAAAAAAAAGATTTTTATTTTTTTATTTTTTTTGAATATCTACGGAAAAATAATATTTTTAGGATTTCTTTCGCGATCATTCCTCTAAAATAATTAGTTTGTATCTGACTAATGGTTTTTTAAATCTTAATAATCTAATTGAGAGTTTAAACATCAAAAAGAAATATTTCTATTAAAATTTTGATACGCCTCTGGACTATTTTAAAAATTTAAGATTTCTCAAATTTAAATTTCAAATTGTTTGCTTATAAACTACTACTAAAAGTCATTTGTAACAATATTTTCTTATAAATTTTTTTCATATTTCTTATAAAAATGCCACTTTTCCTTGTTTGAAATTTTCAAATGGCATTTGAGCAAGTCTCGAGTCAAAAATTTTAGGTGTTTTTTTGGTTTTCAGTCATGCAGAACCTAATGCCGAAAACCGATTTGAAGTAAGGATGAGCATAAAAAAATTTCCCATATGGTGCAGACTTTTCCGCGGGCACTGTATAATAATTCACATTTTATTATTTTAGTAGGTAGGTATATGTGCATTATGCCATTAGTATAATCATTACCAGAAGATAACAGTTAACAGTAACCTGAAAAACCATTTTGAAGGCATCCCAATAAGCATCATTTTCCCATACACGATATTCATTTTTTGTTACTTAATAATGAAGAGATTGCCCTTAACATAATGCAAGCTTCAAACTGTGATATTAAATTGCAGTTTGTAGCATTATAAATAGAATCCTTACTTAAATTATAAATACTTTATCGAGTACTTTATTTTATTCTTTCTTTGGTATTTTAGAAGAAGGCATTACCCTAGAAGTTTTGCTGTTTCTCGACTCCGACGCCATTGCGAAACTTTTACCATAATTAGGGGAAAGATTCGTAATGGTGAGAAAATTGGCGGAAATCAGAGAAAAACAACGTCTAGAGAAGAACAACATCTAGAGAAAAAAAAAATATTTCTCCTAATCTTCCAATTATTGATGCGACACTTAATATTTCCATCTTACCATCAGAACAAGCTGAAGCATCATTGGTGAGTATTTAAATTATGAATAAAAGTATGTACGTCAATGACTTCATCTTATTCTGCAATGTTCTAAATAGAACTAGCAGACATCGAGGGCAAAACCTACTCTATTTTAACGACCACCGAAAACACAACAAATAATGACAATAATTTCCGCGAGTGTTTTCAAGAAGAGTATGATAATAATAATTATGACACTCATAACCCAGTGTAAGTTTTAGTACCCATATGTTTATTCATTTATGATTAATTCATTTTTATAATTTGTAGATTGAATTTGCACAGCGTAAGTATCATTGAAGAACTTCTGGCGTCATCTATCAGTGTTGCTTCAACATAAGTACCTACATTTTTTGTAATAAAACTATGAAAAAATATTCTTTGTGTATCATTCAACATCCAAAGTCACAACTTTTATTATGAGTTGAAGTCTATGTAGCGCTGATTTATATCATAAAGTTTCTAGTAATACATGCTAAATCTTCAGTATCAATTGAAAATGCAGGTATATTTTTAAGAAAGTCAGGATGACTTGACTATAAATGCAGGATGATGTTATCTTAAGCTCTCAATGGAATTAAAATAAGCTCAAGGTACTTTGAGAATTTCAACTGCAACACGTCTTTATAGTAAAGACTCATAACTTACCTCATATCCGAAGTTCCAGCTACTTCATAATAAAGAAGTTGCAGTCATATTTATAGCTAAGTTTTTTCAGTGCCAAAAACAGACTTATCTCGAATATTATTCTTTGTAGATACTTGCGACGATAATATTCCTTAATTAGACAGAATTAGAAATAAACATCTATTTTCGGATCTTCAATAGGTACTACCACTGAAGATGCGCATTTTCGGACCCCTAATATACAAATTAAAAATCCGAAAATTATCCGATCTTTAGTATGACCACTAGAGATCCGAATTTTCGGACCTCTATCCACTGCCTTTTTATTTGTAGGATGTGCGATCGATCCTCCATGTCTGATAACCTAAAAGTACATTTTGACATTGGTCACGTGATCACTGTTGTGGCGGCAAATTCGAAAATTTAGATATGGAAACGCGAAAAGTGGGGTTAGATGGCAAAACTTCGGAAAAAGTTACTTGCAAAAAGTGATTCCAAGGATGTTTTAGGGCTGTCTGCGAAATTTGGAGGAAAAGCAACAAAAATACGAAATTACTTGTTTTTGGCCATGAATCTCTTATCAAATAATATTATACAGTTTTTATTATTGAAATAGTCCAAGTACCTCAATATTTAATGTGTATTGGTAAAACAAACTTAAATTTTTCATTGGAATCATTCCTAGAGAATTGAATAAATATTATCAATTAAACATGAAACTTTTCTGTAGCAATACCCTGTATCATTTGGACAGTTAAGTAAGGTGTTTTACAACTGTATTGAAATATTTAAGTAATAAAAAGTCTCAATAACGGTTCTTTTCAATTGTTGTATCAACATTGAGTCATTGGAAATCTCGGAATTGTCAAGATACAGGGTATTGCTACAGAAACGTTTCATGTGCTAGTTGAATATTTTTATTTAATCCTCTAGGAATCATTCCAATGAAGAATTTAAGTTTGTTTTACCAATACACATTCAATATTAAGAATTAAGGTACTTGAACTATTTCAATAATAAAAATTGTATAATAATAATAATAATATTTGATAAGAGATCGAGGGGTGCCCAGAGAATTAAATATGGTGTACACTTTGCTTTTAAATACAATTTAAATCTTTTTAAATTTCGGTTGGATCCTCTAAATTGATTATTTTTATATTTAAAATACTTTTGAATACTCATTTAAATATCTTTAAATGCCTAGTTTTTTACTTAAATAGCATTTAAATACCTTTAAATACCCTAATAATTAATTTTGGTGTACACTTTTTTAACATTTGCCCACCTCTCGTAAGAGATCCATGGCTGAAAACAAGTAATTTCCTATTTTTTATTTTTTTTTTTCCTCCAAATTTCGCAGACAGCCCTAAAAGATCGTACTAATCACTTTTCCAAATAACTTTTTCCGAAATTTTGCCATCTAACCCCACTTTTCGCGTTTCTATAACTAAATTTTAGAATTTGCCGCCACAACAGTGTTCAAGTGACCAATGTCAAAATGTACTTTTAGATTATCCGACATGCAGGATCGATCGCACATAAGAAAAAATTCCGTATCCTACAAATAAAAAATTTCCCCATATGTAGCGAACATTATGGGGGACACTGGACACTGTATAAAGAAACTCAAACAAAATTTAACAATTTAGGAATTTTCTAGGGAATTTTGTGATCTTAGCCCAAATAATATTAATTATTCATGTCATGGGTATGGTTACCTGTAATTGCATTTTGCTTAGCACCAGGTTTTGCGTATAACTGTATCGATATTTCTCCTAGGTTATTTTTTGATATTATCCCTTTAGGCTTCGACTAAAAACAAATATACTAATAATTACCACTCACTAAATATATTTAAGTCTTACAGATTGTATCTCTAGATGGGAGTTTTGGGGCAATCGGGCCTTTGGTTTCTTGGGCATATTATAAGGTTGATGAAAATGAAAAGTTCGGACAAGGACAACTATTACTTTTGACATCAATATCTTTGGGGTTCTGGTATATTTATAGCTTGATTCATAGGTACTTATACAAATATTTCGAAAAACTGGTTTTGTTGACCATGGTTGCAGGAATGCAGAGGGCTTCTGGGATTCTAATTATTATAATACTCTGGAATATTTTGTGTGAAGCCAGTTCCTTGACAATAATAATGGATTCGGCAAGGCAGTCGTCTGCTCCTAGGTCATATTATTATACTACCTACTATATTTACTATCGCGGTCTAATTTTTTCTACTTGAAAAAAATTATCGCTTCAATTTTGAAAAACTTCACTTTTGCATTTTTCACTTTTCGGTCAGTTCAATAGTGGGGTTATGTCACCAAACAAGCAACGGGGGCGAGTTCAGGAGTGCGTTCGAAATCAGTCTGGGCGTCACACCGAGTGCATACCAGCCGTTCGAAAATGAGTTGGTATAAACTCCAGTTGATTTTCACCCTAGTTCGCAAATATCCGGGGTGCTACCCGTGCACTCTTTCTTAACCAACTCTGCCACTGGGGCGAGTTCAGGAATGACACACTCAGTGTGAGTGTGACACCGGTGCGACGCACTAGCCGTTCATAAATGCTATAGGCATACCGAGTGCGCGCACTCTGTGCCGTTCAGAAAGTACTTTGGGCGCGCTCCAGGTGTCGCACCGGTCACACCATAATTTTTTGGTGTGACTGCGGTGTGATTGTGTCTTTATGTCAACAATGTCAACCACTCCTCCCATAATCTCAATAATTCCACCAAATATAAACAAAACACAAATAAGAATTAAAGTTTTTCCTTCAAATTAAAAAAATGAACAACAAAAAAAAGTAATCCCAATAGATTTTGAGAAATTTTTGAGGACATGCTCGATTGCGGTCACACCAAGCGTTCAGAAATTCATACGAAAGTTGTCGCCAACGAATTGTCATTTCAGTCACACCCATAAAATCGCACTCACACCCGGTGTGTTATTTCTGAACTCGCCCCTGGGTAAATTTTACTCCTGTCATTCTTGTTTTTTTATATAGTTTTTCATTATTTAAATCTAGTACTTTCATATTTAGTCAGATTTATTGGTTCCATTTTCCGTTTCTCGGAAGAAAACACACCAGAAAAAATTTACTCCTCTGACCACGTGACCATATACCCACTCTCACCCTTGGGTAAAATTTAACCCTTTTTCGAACGCACTCCAGGAATGACACACCGAGTGTGAGTGTGACACCGGTGCGACGCCCTAGCTGTTCAAAAATGGTAGACTGTGCTATGGGCCCAATCTTATGGGCCAATTGTCAATTCAGGCACACCCATAAAATCGCACTCGCAAACTGTACGTTATTTCTGAACTCGGCCCTGTGGTATCGTTCAGAGGCCCGAGTACGAACCTTACGTCTTAAGCCTAGTACTCATAACTGCGAAATTCGCAATTTTTTGACATTGCTTCGACAAATTGACGTTTTATGCGTGAATTAAACGTCAAATTGTCGAAGCAATGTCAAAAAATTATGAGTACTAGGCTTTAAGCCGCGTCCACGTTAGTAAAAATCTTACAGAGATGGGTTTAGACCGGATTTTTTGGAAAAAACCCTAAAAACCCTTTGGAAAGGACCGGTTTTTTCGAATAACCGTATTTCAAAAAACCGGCTTCATTGAAACAACCCGATTTATTCAAGCTTTGGGTTTAAACCCTGATTTTTCTTAAAAACCCAATAAACCCAAGTTTTTCATTTTTTTCTTCTCTATAAGGAACACTTTCAATCCAAATCAAACTTTTAAATGATAATTATTAGGACAAATGATAAGTGTTTTATTATTTTTAAATAAACTGAATAAAAAAAACAAAAAATAAAACTAAAAATATCAAATATTCTGCCAGTTAACTTAATAACTTATAATAATTAATAAATGAAAACTTAAGTATTAATTATAAAATATAATTCAATATTTATAAATTCGATCCTATTGTCATCCACCAATCCCTCAAGTAATTCCAATTGGAAATCAGAGTATTTTCATTTTCACTATTTTCTTTGGCATTTTCTTCATAGTCGACTTCGGTATATCTTCTTCTACTTCTTCTACAGTTGACTCGTACTCATAGCGAATTCCATTTATCGATCCAGTGCAAAAAACGATGTATCCTTATCCTTACATGTTAAGCCTAGTACTCATAACAGTGGCGTAACTACCATAAGACAAGTGACCGCAATGCGTTGGGGCCCCCAAGCTTGGGGGGCCCACTCGCTCAAAAAAAAAAATTCAAATATTTGAAGCAGTTCCTAATATTGTCGGTTTTTTCTTTTAACTGAACCTAGGGACACTTTTCTGTCAAATATATTTTTTTTTTAATTATGTTCTGCATACCTAATGAAAAGTTTGGCAACGTCTGCGTCGCGACGGCAGATTAGGATCTAATAGTTAGCTCCGGCTTCCGATTCGATTCGCACCAAAACGCAGCAAGCGCCAGCAAGTAGAAGCACTTTTTTGTGCTTCAGCGGTATTGCAAGCCTCACTACTTTCGGCTTGCAAACCTACCGCTTCAGCACAAAAAAGTAAAGCTTCTACTCCTCCTAATACAACAATATACTATTAAAGTTTTGTTTTTCTTCGATAAAAAGAAATATGTATTTTGTTGTAATATGTACGTACTATAAATAAACAAATTAAAGCTCATTGTTTTGTTTTTGTTTAGCATTTTGACTGGAAGGGGGGGCCTCCTTTCGTATTTTGCGTTGGGGCCAAAAAATTCTAGTTACGCCACTGACTCATAACTGCGAAATTCGCATTATTTTGACATTGCGTTGACAATTTGACGTTTTACGCGTGTATCAAACGTCAAATTGTCGAAGCAATGTCAAAAAAATGCGAATTTCGCAGTTATGAGTACTAGGCTTTACATGCTTTTAGAAAAAAAAAATCCTGTGCAGTTCACACCCGGTAGAAGTGAAACCTTCATCGAACTGCATGCATTACACACATACTAACATACACAGCGGCGCCCCCTTCCCTTCCAAAAGACTTGAGAAAGAACGCAAATAAATATACTTTAAAAAAACTTAAATTAACGCTGGGGTGCTTTGTTCCACATTTCTCATACATTGAGCACCCCACGCTTTTTTGACAATAATTCTAATTATTTTTCACTTTTTAGTTCGATGTATTATAAAAGCGTGTCAGCCCCAGAGATTTCCAGACTTTTCCAGACATTATCCTGACTTATTCAGAGCTTTCCAGAGTTTTCCAGATTTCATCCAGATTAATCCAGACTTTATCCAGACTTGTTCAGACTGATCCGGATTCTGGAAAATGATCCCCAGGTCTTTTGGGACCTTTTTCAGAATTTTTCCAACCCTTTCCAGAAATTTCCAAGTCTTTTCCAGACATTTCCAAAGATTTCCAGACTTTTCCAGACAATAACCAGACTTATCCAGAGTTTTACAGACTTTATCCAGATTTATCCAGACCTTATCCAGACTTGTACAGACTGATCCGGATTCTGTAAAATGATCCCCAGGTCTTTTTGGACCTTTGGCAGAATTTTTCCGACCCTTTCCAGAAATTTCCAGGCTCTTTCCACACGTTTCCAGAGATTTCCAGACTTTTCCAGATTTCATCCAGATTTATCCAGACATTTTCCAGACTTGTTCCAGCTCACTTGGCTTGTTCCAGGTTCTTGTTGTGTGTTATTATAAGCGTGTTAAAAAAGTGTTGCTTTTTCGTTTCAGGTCGCTTTTTCGTTTCATCGTCTCAAATCACTCCCAACAATTCTAAAGAAGTTTTCACTTCAAAAAGTGTTGCTTTTTCGTTTCAGGGTCGCTTTTCCGTTTCAGGGTCGCTTTTTCGTTTCATCGTCTCAAATCACTCCCAACGATTCTAAAGAAGTTTTCACTTCAAAATGCGGATACACTCAGTGCGCACTGATTGACAAATGGAAATCGCCATCAGACTCAGACAGACTTTTTTTTGTTTGGTTAATGTCTATTTTGTTTAACGTTTATAAAAAACTTGTTTTACGACAGCATGTAACGCTTTTTTCCCCTAAAATACCCAAAAAACCAATTTTTCTTAAAAACCCCCAAAAAACCAAAAAGGGTTTAAACCTCAGATTAACACATGAAATAGATAGGTTTATGTTGATTAAAAAATGCCCCAAACATTGACTCCCATTCTAAGATCACTTGCGGACACTTACTGCAGATGTGCCATATTTATAAATTGTCCTAAGTTGCAGGGAAAATGGAATTGGAAATTGAAAAAAATCTATCGAAAATATAAAACTTTAGAAAGGTATATGTATATACGATTATAACTTAAAATATCGCGGTGCTTTCCAAAATTGAATGGGAATAATTATTATATAAAATAATAACCTATTATCACAATAAAATTTGAATAAGATTTTGTGCTAGCTGAAAATGGCAACACTGCCTAAAATCTGGGAACCGGTTATATTCGTCTAGTAACGCCCAACTGAATCGTTTTATCTTTGTTAAGATAACCAGATAAAGAAGGATGCAAATATTGCCGGAGCAAGCCTGACCATTATCGTGAATGCGCTGTAGTATTCATAGTAAGAAATGTCAAACGGGTTTTGTTTGTGATTGGCTCGCATTGTCCGCAATCTTATCCCCACTCCATGTAGTTCATTCATTAATCCACTATTGTCGTTTAGGATTGTTGGCCGCAGAAACCAAACGATTTTATGAATGACTTGCCCTCTCTATTTACGTAGTATTACTCTGAGGTTTAAACCCATCACTGAAAAAACCCGGGTGGGTTTAAACCACTGATCTCAAAAATAAATGGATAAACAAAGAACGCTTCTATGCTGCTAATTTACGAGGTCAAAATCTAAACAAAAACAACTGACTGGGACAGCTGTGAGCGTGCGCAGTAGATACATGTATTGTGCGTGCACAAAATCTGGCCAATGAAAATGAAGGAATTTCAAAATTTAGAACAGTTGTTCGAAAGATAAGACACTGCGCAGGCGTTAGGCTGTTGCGTTGCACAACTGTTCGTAGAATATTCACCCCAAATTTTCGCACAAATTTTGCCAATCAAGCCGTATGAATTGTTTATCCATTTATTTTTTAGATCAGTGGTTTAAACCCAAACCGGTTTTTTGGGTTTAAACCTAAAAACCCGTGGACCCATCACTTAAATTTACGCTGTGCATGGCATTCGGCACAAATTTGTGTTTGCGATACAAATTTATGCGAGTGTGGACCTGTTCGCTGCATACGGACGCGGACGCACGCGGAAATTTCCGCGGCATTCACCACACGCGATCCGCGGATTGTCGGTTTATTTGAAGACATCAAAGGGATTTGCG